AGGGCTGGGAGCACGAAGCCATGCGGTCACGTCTGCTCCAACAGCTCAGGATAAGCGAAACAGACCCGCGGGCCAGAAACCCACCAAGTGCAGAAGCTCGCCCAGCACGCACGAGCACAGGGGCCAGGGCAACGCATGTTTCCAGCCAGCGGGCTGACCCAGCTTGATTTATTTTGTATTTTTTAGAGGTTTTCTCTTACAGGGGGTGTGCGCTTGCTAGACAGAGACAGAGACAGTGAGAGGGAGAGGGAGACACCCCCGGGGGATGGCCACACCAAAATCCTTCTCTTCCATCCCCCCAGGGTCTTGGGCACCCACGCACCCATGTGCCTTGCGTGAGCTTCAGGCCACCGGGTTTGGGACTAAATGTAGTGGGCCACATGGCAGTCCAGCGACTCCACTCTGCCACCTGCTGGCCCTCCGACCACAGCTCCTCAACGGCGCATGCACACCCAGCAAGAGGTCAGGCTCCAGCTCATAAGGCATTCAGATAAAATTTCAGGTAGGTGAGAGACTGACATGTAACATTTAAGGCCATTTTGTGAGGAAGTGATTGGAAAATATTCATACGATCCAAGGTTTGAGGAAAATTTTTAAATAAAATAGAAAACCAAAAGCTACAGAGGAAAAGATAGACATAGATGTTAAATCTTAAAGAGAGAAAAGATACCATATAAAAAGTCAGGGACGAATCGCACCCGGGAGGAGCCGGCTGACCACCTGGCCGACACAGAGGGGTCCTACCGCCCCGCAAAGAGCAGCATGCAGAGCTGGTGGCTCACGGAGGGGCAGTCGTAGTGACCAGTAACTTCACACAAAGACGCTCAGCCTTACGAATAGTTCAGAAAACATGAACTTAAACACGGCTATTTATCAGGACAGGCTGAACTTAAAGAGCGTGTGACCTGGGGCCGGGGGGATGGAGGAAAGACAGGACCCTTAACCACGACGGATACGCGAATCGGCCGTCTCTGGGAAAAACCTGTACAATGAGAATATGAATCTCCCACCCAGCTATGCCACTTCTTACATTTATCCTCCAGTGCACGAGGCCGTGCAGGAGGTATTTCAGGTTGTTTTTCTGCAGTGGAAAACGACCGGTGATGGGGTGTGTGCAGGTTCACAGGCTGCCACGCGGCCACGGACCGGAGCGGAACGGCAGGACGCCAGCTGCCCAGTCGGTCACAGGAGCAGGGCAGAGCACCAGAGCGGGTGGCCGGGGTGGGGTTTCAGAGCCAGAGGCCCTCCTGGGGCTGGGCTGTGCAGTGGTGTGTGTGCTCGCCCACCACCGTATGCTTAGAAATGGCACAGGCGGGACTGGCAGGTGGCACGGTGGTTAAGGTGCCATAGACTCGCACGCAGTCAGCTGCGGTCAAGTCCCAGACCTGGCGGCTCGGAATTTACGCCGGACCTGTGCGTATGTTGCCCCAGATCCCAGGAGAAAGGAGGAGAAAGGACTGCAACTTAGCCATCCCCCTTGGGGAGTTTCTCACTTTCCCTCTCACTGTCTCTGTCTCTCTCCAGTGAGCACATGGGCCCTATGGCAAAACCTGAGAAGGAGAAAAAACAAAGATACAGAGAGAGTTTAGGTCACGTGCATTTTATCATGGTTGGAAAAGAGGAACTTTCACGATGTTTTGTCAGGTGAGAGAAACAAGTGGCAGAGGAATGCCCGGCACCTGCAGAAGAGGTGACACTGACGTGGGCAGAAGCCCAGGGTGGTCCCGGCCAGCCAGGCCCAGACAGCCGGGCTCTGCAGCCTGGTCCCAGCCAAGAGTTCCAGGCAGGAGCTGGTGCAGGGCTGAGCGCAGGCGCCTGTCGGTCTCAGGGGTACAGCCCCTTTAACAGACTCGGGCTCTGGTGCCCCTGCAGAGCCTCCCCCTCAGACGCCAGTCCCCGTCCCCCTGCACCAGCTCTGGCAGAGCCAGGGAGTCCAGCTGTTGCCAGAATCCTGCACACACTTCACAAGGGGAAGCCCGTGCCCCCCGCCCCCTACCCCTCCAGACATGGTGCAGAGGAGCGGATCGCAGAGCCAGGCAGCAGAGGAGGCCGTTCTGTGCCAGGAGCTGCAGCAGGGGTGTGAGGGCAGGGCGGGAGGCCCTCCGGAGCTGGAGCGGCTGGTCTCACCTGCCCTGCTCTCAGAGCTTCCTTTGGAAACGCCTCCCTGCCTGCCTCCACACGCCGCGGCCTCTCTCCTTCCTGGCGGCTCTGCCAGGAAACCCCTCCGGCCGAGAGAAGACGGGCATCTCCACACGCAGCCCCTCTGCAGGTTTCCTCCTGTGGAGCCCCGCAGCTGATATCTAGAACCCCAACCCACCGCCACTCAGCCCTGGACACGTGGAGCTGCGGGCCCAAGCCGGCCGCCCTAGCCACACGGCTCTTTAGAACCGATCCAACAGACCTTCGGGCTTCAGTCGTACCAGCCACATTTCCACAGCCTCACGGCCACGAGCTGGATGTGTGGGGAGTGCAAGGGGGCTCGTGGTCTGGGGGCTCGTGGTCCAGGGGCTCGTGGTCCAGGGGGCTCGTGGTCCAGGGCAGGCCGCCCTAGCCACACGGCTCTTTAGAACCGATCCAACAGACCTTCGGGCTTCAGTCGTACCAGCCACATTTCCACAGCCTCACGGCCACGAGCTGGATGTGTGGGGAGTGCAAGGGGGCTCGTGGTCTGGGGGCTCGTGGTCCAGGGGCTCGTGGTCCAGGGGGCTCGTGGTCCAGGGCAGGGGGCTCGTGGTCCAGGGCAGGGGGCTTGTGGTCCAGGGGGCTTGTGGTCCGGGGGCTCGTGGTCTGGGGGCTCGGGGTCCGGGGGC